TGTAATCATATATTTTGATTACTAAGTAATTGATTACTGTGTAAGACTATGTAATCATGATTACAGCTGTAATCAAACTTTGTAATCACGATTACAAGTAATTGATTACTGTAATCAATATTGTAATCATGATTACAGCTGTAATCAAAATTTTTGAAAATTGTAATCATGATTACAAGTAATTGATTACTGTAATCAAAAAATTTAATCGATTACATTTTTGGCCAACTCTGATTTCTACCATACCATTCAGGTATGTCATGATAATCCGTCTAATATTTGCAAATTTAGTTGGTAGTTATTTACTGCAGCCAGATGGGCAAGCGATCTAGAATTAGCGTATTTCTAACAAAAAGACAAATACTTACGAAATTCAGTGTTTTGTATTTTTAAAATTTGTAGTTGATAGCAAATGAGAAAAAATTTGTACCTCTTCAATGAGAATATTGATAGTACTTTTTAAATTTTGTTTATGGTCCGTTGCAAGTCTTGTTATGTATCAAGACGGGAAAAAATAAAAACTGTTAAATATATGCGACTAACAAAATATTTTTCAGATTTTTAACATACATATAGAGTTGAATGGAAGAAATAAAATGTCTCTGAAGTAATTACTTTTGTATAAATTGGCTTTTGTATAAATTAGTTTTGAAAAATTTTACATGGAAAAACTGCAGTCATAATTTGAAAGAACATGCTTGAAGCTTTAGAAATGGAATCATTTTTACCCATGCAAAATTATACTAAAATGAGAAGAGGAAGTTAATAAATTCTAAATCTTTCTATTAGGTTTGTGATATTTATTTAAGAATGCTTTCAGAATTATAGAGGTATTATAAAAGAATCTGCACTTATTACAAACGATGTAAATTTTCCATGGGTAAACAGGACAATACTTATAAAAATTTAAGGTGATATTGAGATTTATTTCAGGGTGTTTTTAAAGGATAAGATAGATTTGAGGTTTATTTGAAGTAAACTCTAAAAACAACCTTAAACAATCAACCTCCCAAGCTTTATAATCAAAATGTATGCAGTTGTTTACTTAAGGTTGTTTTGAGGTTGATATGAATTGACCTTAGATCAACAAGCTTAGAGAGGTATTTTTTGAAGTACATAGGTTATTTTCTACAGTACAGGCACAGTTACAGTTTCTACAGTTCATTTGAGGTTTGAATAATTTTCCTAAATTTCAATTTAAAGTATTTCTAGGCCATATTATGAGGTGTAAAACAGGTTGTTGTTGTTGTTGTTAATTTACGTCGCACTAAATCTGCACAATGGGCTATTGGCGACGGTCTGGGAAACATCCCGGAGGATGATCCGAAGACATGCCATCACAATTTTGATCCTCTGCGGAGGGGATGGCACCCCCGCTTCGGTAGCCCGACGACCTGCGCGCGAAGTCGAGCACTTTACGGTAGCACAGTTTAACGAGGATCAATACCGCACACCCTCGGTCCCTACGCAGACTGATACAAGTGGTCACCTACCCGCACACTGACCATAGCCAGTGATGCTTGACTTCGGCGATCTGCTGGGAACCGTGTCTTAACGATCAGTCCACTGCGGGACGTAAAACAGGTTGAAATCGAGGTTTATGGAAGAGAATATTTTTGGTGCAAAACATAACCTCATTTTCTAAAATATAACACCTGTCAACCTTAAATCAACCTCAAAAACATCTTATTGTTTTGTACTTCTAAAAGTTTCAAGCATGATACAGAATTATATTATTATATGATTATAGAAGTGATCGTATTATTTTTGTTGACCATACATATATATGGTCACGCTCTTTTATATATATATATATATAAAAGAGCAAAATGAAGATAAAACAAGAAAAAATTATAGACATAAGAAAAAAGTTGGGGGGGGGGGAATAATAATTTTAAAAAAATAACAAACTACTTATTACAAAAAAAAAGGATGAAATTTTATTAGAAAACCCGAAGAAAAAAAAAGAAAAAAAGATATAATCTTTTCATCAGCCCACACGATTATATCCGCAAAAAAGAGTGCTTACTGGTATTGTATCAATACAGCCAAAGCAAAATATATTAATACAATAGTGTGAGGAGCACTCAAAAAAATTTTTTTACAAAAATTACAAAAAATAAAATAGAACACAATAAGTAAAGATAACAAGTGAAAACAGAAAATAAAATAAAAGAAAAAACAGTATAAAATATACACTGTAAAGCAGGTAGCGAAATCAGAAGTACTTACACGTTCAGGAAATTTTTCAAGAATGAGTTAAAACTGTTTTCGCAACAAGATTGCCAGATTACAAAATATGAAAACAAAAGCGCAAATTCAGTGTAAATAGAGGGTTTTAAAGTGCCGTTCTTACTGCATTGCTGAAGTGATTTGTTATTCTGTGCATTGATTTGTTAGTTACCAAGGATGGGCCCGAAATGGATGTGCTCAATGTAATATTATACTGGATAATTTTAAAAAAACTGACCATAAATAGTTTTAGGAAATAGATGTTTATTTAAGAAAAAATATAAAATAGAAAAGAGAAACATAAATTGCCTGTTTTACAAATAATTATAGCCACGGATTTCCCCGAAATGGATTTGCACTTGAAAAAATTATATAAATTATCAAAGAAAAAAATTTTTAACACGGATTTACCCGAAATGGATTTGCACACGGAAAAAATAATAAATAAATTTTTAGTAAATAATTTTAGCCACGGATTTGCCCGAAATGGATTTGCACATGGAAAAATTATATAGATTAACAAAGGAAATTATTTAGTAAAGGAATATTGTAGTAAATAATTTTAACCACGGATTTGCACATGGAAAAATTATACAAATTAACAAAGAAATTATTTAGTAAATAATTTTGGCAATGGATTTACCCGAAATAGATTTGCACATGGGAAAATTATATAAATTAACAAAAAAAATGTTTAGTAAATATATCCACAAAAATATACGATTAATTCAATGATTTTATATAATATTTTATTA